TGAATGAATGTAAGATCAAATATATCCCATCACGTGTCCAAATATAGCTATTGTCACATTGAAAAAACAAGGAGAATAGTATATATATATATATATATATATATATATATTATAAATCGATAATCCAAATCCAATTGAAATATGAGAGTTGTACCTTAACTGGTAACAGTACCTTAACATGTAAACGAATATTTTGATTAGATAGCTACTTTAAAAAAATAAATCAATCTTACTTAGTAAACAATATCGTATATTTTGCCTCGTGAGACGTATTGGGTAGATTATTCAAAAATTATTGCTTGTCACTGGAAACTTACATCGACTGAATGTTACATGAAAGTTTTCGCGATGTTTCGGCCTTATGCAGGATATGGATGGCAGGCGATCAATCCTGATGTCGGAAACTCGAAGAGTTCTATCACGTTGGCGAAATTGATTTAAAGACCGTGTCGTAATCCTTTCGTTGAGAAAACCGTTGCCGAGTAGCAAGACTTCCATTAATGTAGAATAGGCAAAGTCCCTACATAATGTTGTCGCGCACACATTTTCCCAGCTTACAAATTACTTTGTCTTGGCGGCTATTCTTCTCGCTCCGACCAGAACGATCGAGGCAAATACGTTCGACGGAATTTCCCTTTACGACCATCCTTTACACCATCTAATCCTCCTTGTAAAGGTAGCACTCGTGGCAAGCAGCTTCGTTTTCTATAGAACGCCGCAAGGAAGAGTTTGAGAAAAGCTTCAAGATGTTACGAATAAAAGGAAGGATCTCATTGAAATGAAATTGAGATGAGATTTCAACACGGATTTGGGCGGAAAATCGGGCATGTTGCGTTATTAAGCTTCTAATGCTATTTTGATAGATCGTTCGTCGCAACAGTCATTTTCAAGTTCGAATATACAATACATAACGAATAATATTTATATTTTGAGTATATATCGTAACTTTTATCTTACTTGTTGCGATAACATAAATGACAACAAATTTTCAAAATATATCATTTAATATCGACATTTTTCAGTATTGTTGAAAAATAAATCTCTTCACTTTTCAGAGCTTACCACAAACACCAGCTGGTGGTGCTGGTGGAAAAGCAACCGGTTCAAGCGCTGGAATGGTCAATGGTGCTGGTGTCGATCATGAAAACATCCGGGACGGCGCTGGAATAGATACAGAGCTCGTAAGTATACAGTTAAATATATTTGTATAATTTTACACAAGTACATATTTATAATTTATTGAATAATATGCGCGAGCGCGTGTGTGTGGATGTAAAATTATATCGCAATATATGTACATCGAAATCTTAATATTTCCCATTAAAGTTGTCTTTGAAAAATTAAATATAATAATCAAGAAAATACATTGCGCAGTTTATAAATCCCTCGCGCAATAATAGGTTGCATAATTTTTCAAATTTTATTTTTGTAATATTAAAAATATCACTTAAAGATGTTATAATGTTACAACTCATTGCATTACTATAACTTGATTCGACAACTGTCTTTAATTGTTCGATTAAGTTAATAAATTTCAAAACACCATCAGCTAGTAATGAAATGAAAATAGAACAAACCGTTTCCTTCCTTTGTTGATAAACTTGGAAAAGTTTTTCGCAAGTGTGCCACCGCGACAAAAGTTTTATCATGGCAAAAGAACCGGGCAACAAAACGGTTGTTCACTGTGCTATTGTTTATTTCATTCTTCAGTTCGAGCGGACCTTTTTATTGTCACGTACGTGTACGAGGAATCGCGAGACTTCGTCAGATCGATTAAAAAAAAAGACTCGTACCGTGTCATGAGAAATCATTGTTATTATGCTCATTAGTGTCGGTACCAGTTTTTCTTTTTTTTTCATTTTAAATTATCCATAAAAAATCTATGGATAAACTTTGTTATATATATGCGAATACGTTGCATTTTGTTATTTTGTTAAATTTAGGAACCTTACGTTTTTTTTTTGTAAGATTAAGAAAAATTAGTATAATAAAAATTCCTTATAAGATACAATATTCTTAGAAAGTTATATGTGAAAAGGATAAATAATATTCATATAGCATTCTAGGAATATTATGTGCTTATAGAGTTTGTCCTGAATTAATATCAGATAACAAAAACAGAATCACATATTAGTAATGATAATATATATTAAATAGTATAAATTTGCTCAATTTTTATCTTAAGAGAAGATATAATCTGTGCATGAGAGAATTAAAGAATACTACGTTCTTATGCATAATAAAATAAGTTAAAAGGAAAAGAAAACAGCAAGATTCCGGAAAGTGTGCAATATGAAATCTAACCAGACAGTAAGAGCTAGCTAAAATTCAGGAATTAAGCGATTACTTCCGAAGTTAACCATTGTTCCCGGCAGTCCATCAATCCGCCTCTCTGACGATTCTCCCTTCCGTTTTTTCGCACGTCGATCCATTCGTATGGAATTAAAACCGTTATCTGCATCCCTCCACCCGCTTCACCGAGTTCCGAAAAGCAGAGAGATGGGTAGTAAAGACTGGATGAGGGTTGAAATTCATGGGCGAACAAAAGGGATGCAGACAGAGATGAAATCGACTGGCCCGCAAATTTTGTAATCTAACGTTGTTTATAAGATTTCACCGATACATTATTATTATTATTATTATTGTTATTATTATTATTACTAAATTTGTTTTTTTTTTTAATAATATGTCTGACTTTTGTTATCTTTATATTATTTATATTGACTGTCTACCTAAAATTAAAGAAATATGTAATTTGTATATTAAGTGTAATTTTGCAAATAAATTATTTATATGCAGGTAATTTTGTCATAATGTTTAGTTTTTTACATAATTTTATTTAAATATTTATAATTTTGACTTTCTCTCTCCAATATTTCGCGTGTCTTAATTAACAAAGAACTATTTTAAAGAACATTATATGTATATTAGAGGGTACAGCTAATGTACTGTTTTTAAAATAATTTTATCTTTTTAAACATAATATATACGCAATATATACGTATAACGAAGCTATTTTTACAAAATCCAAATAAATTACCCGATCGATATTACTAGCTTTATGGGTATTTTTAATCAAATTTCCGCAAAAGCTCATGCCTACCGTGATTGTTCGTTCCGAAATGTCGACGTAACGATAGGTGTCAACAATTTTTTCATCGCTTTTCCCATTTTCTCCGTGCTCTTCCTCTTTTCCACTTCGGTCGGATTTTTTGCAATTTTTTTGGTATCTATCGATTTACATGCGCCAGCAAAATCGACAATGCTTACGTCGTTTGCTGCGATCGTCTAGCAGTTTATAATCGAAAAGCAGTGATGGGACAGTAGGCCAGATGAAGTCGGGCAAGTTTTATTGTGCTTACTATGACTCACCCTTTTCTAGATGTTCCGATATATCAAAGCATCTCTCTTTTCATGACCATCTTTATGTATTTGCGTATTCATCTCTTCTCTCTCATATGACAGAAGTGAAATTGGAAATACGATATACTTAGATCTACAACATTTATTTCCCGCGTCGGTATATATTCTCATGTCGGTCTATGTAATACATAGCATCCAAAAATTATAATGCATTCTTTTTTGCTCTTTTTCAAATAAATAAACACAATATATATGAGTATTATGTATTTGAAAAAAATTTACACTCAGAAAAAAAGATATAATGATGTCAATTATGAAAGTTTTTACATGTAAAATTATATAATTGAATAAATTATTTTATATATCGCAACTTCAAAATAGTTTATTTAACGATGTGCATTTATTTAACCATGTACATTCATTTTACATAAGACATTAATATACATATTTTTGTAGCTGCCATCATTATGTTTTTTCTGAGTATATATATATATATATATA